GGCATTTACTCTATGTGATTCACATGTGCTTCAAATCTGCATTACTCTATGTGATTCACATGTGCTTCAAATGGGCATTACTCTATGTGATTCACATGTGCTTCAAATGGGCATTACTCTATGTGATTCACATGTGCAACCATGTGAATCACAAGCAACACACATTTTTACAATCATACACAAGTACTTGTAAAAACATGTGTAAATACATGTTTTCATATTTTATTCACGTTTTTCACATGTGACAAACAAGCCTCAAATGTGAATCACATGTCCTTCAATTGGGAATCACATTTGAAATCTATGGTAATTTTATATGGTAAACAGGAACATGTGGAAGATGGGAATCACATATGAACACTCAATGAAGGATCTCTATCAGAATCTATGGATCTTACCTGTTGTGTTGCTGCGCCTCTACAGGATCTTCTACGTCTCCCACGATGCCCAAGACCTGAAGATATTCAGTTATATTGCCAGAGATGGAGAGAGCAACGTTTTTCGCTGCAATGTCTTCAAATCTAAACGGAAGGTGAGTTGAAGACCTCAGGAAATAGGGTTAGGTTTTAAATATCTTAATGACAAGAATAGAATAGAATAGAATAGTTTTATTTTTTTCTGACAAATTAGGGAAAATCTAGGTGTCAGTGAATCCATACAGGTACATAAGACTATGAAATCAAACAAGACTCTCAGAACATGTAAGTAAAATAAACAAAACACATCTCAGACAAAAAACAGTGCCGTAAAAAATGCATATTTACATCTAATAAAAATATTTTTAAAAATGCATCTAGATTACATGTAAAATGAAAAGCTGAGAAAATAACAGCATGGTTGAGAATGGATCAGGCAGAAATTCTGAGAATAAGACGAGATCTTACTGAAGTTGCTTCATTCATGTATGATTATTTGATCATCTATTTTCTTTTGATTCGGACGCAGATGTTTTTTAAGTTTTCAAAACTGTTAAAAATAGTTAAATCAGGGATCTTTATACCACTCCCTCTAGACTTCTAGTCTGAAGCACCTACATTTTTCTGGAGCGAGTTTGCTTCTCTTTTTATTAATTGCCTCTCTTTCTTTGTGTGATTGCAGCATTTTGTTTGTGGCTGCAGCAAGTTTTTTGCCTTTTATTCAGCAAACTGTCATTTCAGTTTCTTTCTCACTTTGCAACATTTCAAAAATAATCAGTTTGCTGTGTATTTTGCTTCATCTTTATGGAAGATATACAAAGAGTAGGACTTTATGGTGATACTGTATCAGAGGTTTTGTCTTTTTGCTATCTGATAAGCAATAGAAGGTGGTTTAGCCTAGTTAATTTGATGCAGAATTATCCAAGGCCACCATACATGGTTGTTTAAGCTATGGGTAATAAATAAAGGCTAGATTAAACCAACCTGATATAACCAAGACCATTACTGCAAGACCGTCGTATTGTGACGGTTTGGTTTGGGGAGTATTTTTTTTTATATTGAATCATTGCGGCACATATCATTGAGAAACAGTGACATTTTTTCTCCTTGCTGGAAGTACACATATTACATCCAGATTTCACGAGGAGGTTGGGGGGGCGGGGTTAACAGTCGTGTTTTTGCAAAAACTGACTGGTAACATGCATAAAACCACCTAAATATTCACTGTTTTTAGTGGGTTTGAACCCATCGGGTATAGATGGTAGGGGATTCCTGACACAACTTTTTGTAGATATTACAACTTAGCTTAGCGACCAATACAAACATTGACCTGATATGATATCAGCAAGAATCATACATACTTTCAATACTTATTAGTAGTCTTGGCTGCTAGAAACGGCCTGATCAAGGGATATTATGTTAACACAGAACTATAGTCAAGAAAATTATATATACAAGAACAGTTGACCCATTTAACCCTTTTGTTAATCAATGTGTTACATAAATTAAAAAAAAAAGTGGATAGAAGCAGCGGAGGAAGGAGGAAGAGGTGTTTATCATTTTACTTATAGCAGAGATTTTCCAGTGTTCATTTTTTTCTGACGTTAGTATCAGATAGGAATGTCCCTAATAGATGGTGATTTAGAAATAAAACTAAATAGTGAGACTTTTGCTTTGGCTTTTTAAACCAACGTTGATTGAAACTATTCTTTGATGTAAGTGATGTAAGTAGTGACTGAAAATTGCAGCTCTAAAGGTCTGATTGTTTTGATTCTGTAAACAGACTTCCCAAGCGACCTAGTTGAGATAGATTATGAGGCCGACATGTTGTGTAGATTTCGATGAAGTTGATGCACTTAACGACCAATTTTTCCAGTACAAGAATCTTTCAGTTGCATTGTATGTTTTTAAAGCAGGTAGGATACTTTCCCAATGTTGTCTAATTTGTAGATGTAACTTTAACCACCATGAGAAAAGAACGTCACAATTCTTTCCATTTTCTTCCAACATTCTTCAAAGTTCCTATACAGTCAGCAAAAAAAAAAAAAAACATATATAATGGATAATAGAATAAATAAAAAAAAGTCCAGACCTCCAGCTATGGACATTAGCAGAGCAGTGTAAAATCGTTGTCTCAACGTCTAATACCTGAAGTAATGTTGTACGGCCAAAAGGAGGAGAATTCCTCCTCAACAATCTGCATGATTGATAATGAAGAAAAAGTTTATTGCCTCTGTAGGAGTGTAATGCATTTTTTAAATACTAAATGACAGACAAAGCCAGATCTCTAATAGGGGTTCATTAAAGGCATACTATGCAACATTTTTTAGTAAATTAATGTGTTCCATAACGTTTTGGAGGATAAAATGAGTCATTTCAGGTTGAACAAAGGTATTCTCGGCCGCCCTGGTGGTCTGTGGGGGAAATACCGCACTTGCAATTGCGGGAGCACCGACCCGCACCCACAGGCTCAGAAGTCTCGCGAGAGCTGGTCTTGCTTTACGGCGAGAACTGCTACACCCCCCAGTCGCGCGTCGAGCAGCAAAAACTGCTAAGCTCAAAACAACCGCGCCTTGCTTGACGGAGAAACCAGGAGAACAGCTGTGCACGGTGCACTTTTACTTTCGCCCTCTGGGGGGAGCCTCGCTGGAAAATCAACACCGGTTGCATAGTGTACCTTTAAGTTGGTTTAATAAAGCAGTTACTATGTAAATCTTTTGTTTTATTTTTTATTTCAGTGGCTTTTTGCTCAGAGTATGTCTGGTTATTATATATCAAGATCTTTGCAAAAGAGATGTAAGATGAGACAATATTCCTTTAAATTCAGTTTCTTTATATAGCACCAATTCACAACACATTGGATCTTAAAGCGCTTTACAATTTGATCAGATTATACAGTCATATTAGTTACACGTTTTCTAAGCTAATTGTATTTGGACAGGTCCTCCCTGAACCACCACACAACAGAAGTCAGGAAGCAAGGACATCCTTTGTGATGACCCCAATGCATGCAGACACATTTCTATAGCGGGGAGTGTTGGCCTGGTAGTTAGAGCAGTGCACTTGTGCTCTGAGAAGTTTGCAAGTACCCGGTTTGATTACTACAACCTCCACTCTGGGTTCCTAAGCAAAACCCTTAACCCCTGATTGCTCCCTGGGTGCCACACAATGGCAGCCCACTGCTCCTCAAGGGGATGGGTTAAAATGCAGAGAACAAATTTGCACATTGTGGGACAATAAAGGGATTTACATATTTAGTCATTGATTTTGTAGGATTGGCTCCTAGATGAGCATGTAGTGACAGATATTTGTTTTCATTGTGTCGCTGAATCTACAGCAATACCTCACTGAGAGCATGCATGCAGTGGCTGTGGAGAGAAAAGAAATGTCCTTATAAATTGGAAGAAATTTTCAGCAGAACCCGGCTCAGTGTGAGCGGCTTTCTGCTGATACTTACCTGGGTGCAAGGAGACAGAAGCACACATGAGGAACATATAAGCCCTGATCCATGATTACTTTCCAAGTTAGAAAGTTAAGCAGACAAGCTCTGAGTTGGATTTCGTGTTAAAAAGAATGAAATATAGCACACAGTCACAGTGAAAGGTGAGCCCATAGCTATGTCTAGGAGAGAAACAGAACTAAACACTGAAAAACAGCCCAACTCTATCATCTATGATGAAAGTTGTTGGTAGCAGCCTACCTGATGCCTCCCTCCAGGTGTAATAAGCTCAGAATGTAGTACCCAGAATTCGAGACAAGACAGACAGTGGGGATTCAAAGCGTTTATTTAAATCACAACAGAACTCGGAGCATTAAAAAAGCTCTCACCACTGATCTCCAAAAACAAGGACATGAACAAAAACATAAGCTATGAACTCAAAGTAATATTCAAAACAAAGTTATCTCAGCAACAATGTCAATGATCTGGCCCAGATAGCTGGGACTGATCCGTATATAAAGCAGCAGGAGCAGGTGGATGAGAATAATGATAATGGGTAACCGGGCAGCGTTAGGCAGGTGAGTGAAATAAACAAATTAGGTCAGCTACATGTATCTATTTTAACTCTTCCCTATTATGTTATTCTTAGAAATTTTTCTAAGGTCTAAGGGATTTTCTATTTTATTCTATAAAACGAGTAGAAAGATATAAGTAAATCTAAACAATGTATGTATAAAAAATATATCTGCAAAATCTCTAATATTCAACAACAAAACAATACTTAGTTAAGCATATTGCGCAAAACAGAAGTAAAAAAATAAAAATCCTATCAGATGTACAGTCCCCACTCTGCAGCTATAGAATCTGTCCTTAAATGACAGCCAAACTTATTTACACAGTAACAGATAAACTTTTAGATAAACCAAACATTATATATTAGAAATACACATATCTGAATCAATAACCATTAAAACAAGTATTTTTATTCATCTCAGACGAAACTATTCACATACTTGTATTATATTAAACTGCACTTCCAATATTCACCACTATTCGGCAGCAAGTAACCTTTCATCTGATCACGGAGCAGCCGGCTTTCTTGGTCTTTCAATGAATCCTGGGAAAACCAAGGATACCGAGGATACATCGGACCCGTCCTTCAAATCGGGCTAAAAAAGGACGCATTTTAAGGCCGCATAACGAGGACTCTTGGAATCCAACCAGACCTCGGCGCAGCGCTATGAAGTAATCGTCCTTCGAATCTGGCCTTCTAAGGACGCATCCCATGAATTCGAACAGGGCCAGGTTGTCTGCCTGATGGACTAAATATGATAATTGTGTCAGGTAAAGTGGAGGTTTGAAGAGGATCCAAATGCAGAGACTGAAGCTGAAAATACCAAAATACAGAAAATGAAAAAACATCAGCGAAAACTCACATGAAATGGCAAGGAAATGATGACAAGGAACCAGCAAACACTGACTGAAGAGGAGGTGCATATATGGAAGACAGGAAAAAAGACCAGGCTAATCAGCAGATTGGGAGCAGGTGTGGACAGGAGAACCTAGAAGGGAGCTAGGAAAACGAGACTGACACAAGACTGCAACAGAGTGTAAACAAGAAATACATTAACACTCAAATACAATCTAAAATAACGGAATAATGGAAATAGAACCAAT